AGATGTTTGTGCTGTGAGAGCTTTGCGTAGTGTAAATTCTAGAGCGATCTTGCCTCCCCTCCTGCGAGAGCCTTGAGTCTCTTTATATAAGGGTGATAAACCGCCTCTCCAGCGATTTTCTCCAGCGATATCGCGGATTAGGATAATTTCCTTATTCTTCGGAGTATTTTGGAAGATTTCCTGATTTGAGTCGATCCTTCGTGATTCTTCTTTATCATTTCTGGGTTTATCGGAAATGATCCTTCTTTTTCGGAAATGATGTCTTGCTTGGAAATGATACTTTGAAGACGAATATTTACTAAGTCTTTGCCTCGGGCGGTTGATGATTTCGCCTCGGGTGTCTTACGGTCTCGCCTCGGGTGATTCGGCGACTTCCTGGTGTTCGGCTCGGATCAATAATGTAACATTATGCCCGAGCCGAAATATTTGCCGGGCTCAGGTATTCGTAGGAGGAACGGGCTTAGGAACCCGAACCGTGGATGGGTTCGGCCATTCAGACGTCAAAAAGAATCGGCTCGATTGACTGAATCGTGAACGGGCTCGGTTGTCTGAGTCGGGCTCGGGTATTGGATTGACGGGCTCGGGTACCCAAGTTGGTTGGCAGTCCCGAACCGGCAGTGAGGATATCCGAACCGATCCGTGCGGGGTTCCGAGCCGTTTGGTCAGAGTTCCCCGAGCTGATTTGGTGATAGGTCCCGAGGATTTGTCATAGCTCGGACTTAACGCGGGTGGAATCCGACCCCAACAAGCGTTGTTTACATCTAGCTGTTGAATTGGCCAATCTCTAGAGACTGCAATGTCAAGAATCAATCGGACGGTGGTATCCTTGATCACTGGGCTGAAGGTCTTCGTATAGTCGCGACCATATTCTTGGTTGTATCCCTTGGCAACTAATCGAGTTTTACACATGTGAAGAGACCCGTTAGGTAGAAATTTATTTTTGTAAATCCACTTACAGCCAATAACATTGTGATTTGGTGGACGAGGGACCAAATCAAATGTTTGATTTCGTGCAAAAGCACCAATTTCTTTAGACATTGCTCCCCTCCACTTTTCATCCTTTAACGCTTGGTTCACGGTTTGGGGTTCTGGTGGGATTGTGTGAGAGAGTTTGACAGAGAGAATGTATTTTGGGTTTGGTTTAATGATTTGATTTTTCCGGCGGGTTTGCATTTGGTGGTGGTTTGTCGGAGGTGGAGGTGCTGCAACGATGGAGGAGGACGAAGCCGTCGAGTTTTGTTGGTGAGTGTTGATAGAGTTTGATGGGTTGGTGGATTTCTGGTAAGTGAGTGGGTTTTAGTGTTTTGTGGGATTGGGATTGTTTCTGTTTGGGCTTTCTTCTGGGCTTCGGCTTGTGTGAATTGAATTGGATGGTGAGGAAGAGAGATCTGTTACCGTTCGTGACTGTGTTGAGGATTGATTGCCGGAGGTCTCTGTTTCATGACTGGAGGAGGTGTCGTGTTCCTTGTCTGGCGATTCAGGCGGCGAAGGTGCCGTCGATTGGAGGTTGGTGTCCGTTGACCCAGGCTGCGTCGGAGGCTGCTGTATGAGTGGCCGACGGAGAGGGTTTTTAGTGATTGGTGGTTGTGAAGCTTTTTGTGTTTCAGAGTTGTTGGGATTTTGAGGAATTGAGCTTTTGAATGGGTAAATAGTTTCATCGAATTTGACATGGCGAGAGGTGTAAATTCTTCTTGAGCTTGGTTGCAAACAAAAATATGCACTTTGTGTCAACGAGTATCCAAGGAAGACGCAAGGCATTGACCGGTCTTCTAGCTTGTTTGTATTGTATGATCGATGGAGAGGAAAACACAAACATCCGAAGACCCGAAGTTTCATGTAGTTGGGAACATCACCAAAAAGCTTCTAGAACGGAGACACCATTTCTAGAACAGGGGAAGGCAGTCTATTGATGAGGTAAACTGCAGCTGCGAACGCGTAGGGCCAATAAGACTTTGGTATCCCAGAATGTGTAAGGAGTGTGAGTCCAGTCTCCACGACATGACGATGTTTTCGTTCTGAGATCCCATTGTGCTCCGGAGTGTGTGGCGGTGATGTTAGATGAGAGATTCCAGCAGATTCAAGGAATGATCGAAGAGCGATAAACTCGCCGCCATTGTCGGAGTAAAGAGTGCCTATGCGAGTGTTGAAACGATTCTCAACAAGCTCTTTGAAAGGAATAAATGTTTCGCGAACTTGAGAATTTGTTTTGAGAGGGTATAACCAAGTGTAACGAGTGTAGTGATCGACGAATATCACATAATATTTGAAATTGTCTATAGAGACAATGGGAGAAGACCACACATCAGAGAATATGTATTCTAATGGTCTTGTGGAGACAATGGAAGTTTGTGAAAAAGGAAGTTTATGAGCTTTATTGATGGAGCAATCAGAACATAACGATGAAGAAGTTAAACATTGCATATGAGGTAGAGAAGAAGAAGAAACAACATTTTTGAGAATTGGAAAAGAAGGATGGCCGAGGCGGTGATGCCAATCAACCAGAGGTGGTTTTATTGAAGTGGTTGCAAAAAATGAATTAAGGGTTGATGGAGAAACAGGCCACTCGTAAAGCTCATCCTTCGTCTTGCCTTGGATTAACGGGACCCCCGAGGACAGATCCTTCACCTGAAAAGAAGCCGGAAAGAATTCCACAGAGACCTTGTTAGCATTGCACAATCTGTAAACGGATATTAGATTTCTCTGGATATTTGGGACGCATAAAACATTGTTTAAGGTAAATTTGCGGTTGGATAAAGAGGGAGAGGGAAGGGAGAGTGAACCAGTGTGCGTTATCGGTATACCAGAGCCATTACCAACGAGTACTGCATCTTCTCCATTGTACGGTTGATGAATGGCCAGATTGTGGAGGTCACTTGTCATATGGTGAGTGGCGCCACTGTCTAATAACCACGGGTTCACCTGTTGTGACGTTCCAAGTGCTAGGTTTGCTCTTGGTTGCCACGGACGGAATGGAGAAGGCAGCAGACCACTGTGAGAGCCGGAGTAGCTCTGTTGGGATCCCGAGTATTGTTGTTGCATCTACGAACACCTTTTTGCGCTGTCTCCAAAGACACCACATAGCTGACACTTCCCCTGATATCCTTTGGTCATGCGATTCACTGGTCTTGGTGAATAGTACTACTGCTTGTTATTGTTGTTCCAAGATTGATTAGGCCTATTGTTCTGTTTTCCATGAGCTGGCTTGAGACGAGAATTCGCATAGTTTGCTGAAACTGGACCAGACAGTGACGCAGAGCTAGCCATAGCTAGCAGTTTTGCTTCTTTGTTGAAGAGCTTCTCATGGATTTCAGTGATGGATGGCGGTGTCTCACGGCCTTCTACTTGGTCAACAACGGACTTTTAGTCTTCTGGTAACCCGCCTAGAATCAGCTCAACTTGTTCTCTGTGTTCAATTGGTTTACCAAGGAGTGCAAGCTGGTCAAAACGAGTAACAAGTCCTTGCATATAGTCATCTACACTCTTCTCACCTTTGGGATGTTGCTTCAGTTGAAGACGGAGTTGCTGGATGTGTCCCCATCTCGGATTGGCGTATGTGGCAGATAGTTTCTTCCACATCTTGGCTGTAGTCTTTGTTTTGGTGACAACGGACTGAATGGAAGGAGAAAGCGTGCCTATGAGCCCACTATAGATGAGTTTGTCTTGACGGCGCCATTTGGCATAGTCGGGATTTGGTCTGGTCTGATTGTTGGTGGTGAGGGTCTGAGTGGGTGCGAGAACAGATCCATCAATGTAACCCGCAAGGTCATGACCATCGAGTAAGGAGTGGACTTGGAGACTCCACGTGATGTAGTTTGTGGAGTTGAGTTTTGTAGCATTCATCATGTTAACGTTGAGGATGGATTGTGTTATGTCAACAACGACCGGATTGGTTGACATGATGAGAGACGGCTGAGAACAGAGAAGAACAGAGGAAAGGTTTTAAGAGAACAGAGGTGACAAGTGAATGAAAGAGGAAGAAGAGAGAAGAAGGAGGCAGCCGTTTTAAATAAAAATTCTAGGGTATCGATAATAGCTCTGATACCATGTTAAGATGAAGTATTATTTATTCTGTACACACTTACAAGAGTATATATACACAAGTAGAAGAGAGAAACATCTAGGTCTATAGTACAAAAGGAATGTTCCTAAACTGTAATCAATCAAATACTGAGCCATTAAAGAGATGATCATTTGATATCTCTGACAGTATCCTAGGGTTGGAGATTAAGGTTTAATCACTACGATATATATCAACATGTTTGCCAATCGCCATGGCACATGATGAGGCAATAGAGAATCTAGTTATCCACTCTAAATATGATGTCAACGATAAATTCAGCTGTATTCTGAAGAGAGGCTAACAAGCGTTACTAGTAATTTTCATACTTGGTCACCATAGCTATCTTAAATAACATTCGAAATGGATATTTTATATCAATAGAAGATAGTCTTCATTTGCTAAACGCAAAGAACGAAACACGCCGAAATACATCTATTTTGGAGAGAATCAACAACATATAGAATAGACAAGCGAGAGAGAGAAAGAGAGATATGAGGTTAGATCCACATTTAGCATGACACAACACTCTTAGAAACACAACATTTTCAAGACTAAGTTATGTCCTATGACTTTCATTAAACTGAGCATATGATTCTAACTTCAACATATATTTTTTTCTCTTTTTGAGCAGCTTCCAAAACTACACAAATAATGAAATAAATAACATTTTGAGAAAAACTAACATACACCTAGTTTAAGAACATTTTATAAATATATACTTAAGCTTGGGTGAAACTGGCAAGGAACTTCTGCAATATATCTTTTGACATGTTCTATGACACAATTTGTATCATACAGCCTTAAAACCTTACAAGTTACAAGCATCAAATAAGTTGACCTTAATTTGTCGAATTTGAGAACTAATAGTGTATGAGAAGTGCAAGGAGACGTATGTTCCAAAACAGAGCTAGTTTTCTTTTCTTAGCTCTAGACAAGAGAATAGGTGTATCTCCATTATACATAAACAAGCTTTTTGTTGAAAACAAGTTTTCATAGATGGAAGACAAACCATACGAGCAAGAAAGTAGAAGAACAAGACATTTGTTATAGGTTCTTTGTTGGACAACAGACATGTTTAGATGAAAACATCTTAAGAACTCAAATCCTCAATAAAAGTCGAGTTTGCATGTTGATGAAGCTCAGGAAGAACTGGTCAACTCCTTTATCATCTCGAGTTCTGGAACCAAACATGTATAAGAATCGATTGTTGCAGTTCTTAAGCGACAAGCGTTTTTCAAGATGTAAACCGCAATATCTCTGTCTTGTGGTCTTCCTAAGTATTCTGTCCAGGTGAACTTTTGTAGACTCAACAACAAACATTCCGGAACAGTACTCGGTTGATTCCAGGGAAACATACAAAGATTCTCATAATTCTGAGATCAAGGAGAACAATCAGATTAAAAAAAAAAACATAATAAGCAATAGATAAGAAATAATAGTTGATGCAAGAAACTTACATCATCCAGTTCAGAGAAGTACACTAGTTCTCGTAAGTTAGGAGAGTCTTTGAGGAACCAGGCAAGGAGATTCGACGCGTACTCTTCCAATACATGTAGCGTTAGATGCTCAAGGTGGCTACATATAAAACCGTCACCAAACATAGCCTTCGAGCGAATAAAAAAAGTATTAACAGAGAATTTAAAAAGGGAGATCAAAGATAGATTGAAACTGATTACCTTAGAGGATATTTGGAGCCGCTTGACATGAGTGATTGATCTGATAAGATTATTGAGATCAGTGGATTAAACGTCAACATATGCTTCCAACAGCTTAGGCATATTCTCAATCAAACATGGGTGACTACCATAATTACGATCCACAAGTTTGAAATACTCTAAAGGAGTATCTATGACAAAATGTTAAGAATAAAAAACGTAATCTCTATTTCTTAACCTACGGTACACTGTTTCGTAAGAGATTGAGCCATATGCACATCAACGATTCATCAACTCTATCTCACAAGCGACACATACGTCACTGTACATTCATCAAACAATGCATAAAGCCTAACAAATGAGAAAACTATTCTTATATAGGAGTCTTTATTCACACGTGCCAACATTAGTTTCTTCAAGCTTCTTCTCTCACATGTGTGGCTACCTCTGCTTTCTTCTTTCTTGTATACACATTCAGTGGCTTATCACAAAATCATCTAAATAACAACTAGAAGCTATATAGAGTGACAAACGATGCAAAGATGGGACAATAATAGTATACTTTCCCAATTTTTCTGGATAATTTAAAGCTACCAACAGATCTTCAAGAACGGGGCATTTAGATAGAAGCTGCTGAAGAGATCCTTGATTGAAGTATCTAACACTTTTAAGTTCCAAAGTTTTGAAAGAGGGAAGACAAACCATTCGAGGAACATCCAAGAGAATCCCGCCATCCAGTTTCAAGATCACGAGCGATTTGCAGGTATACAAGCTACTTGGCAATATGTTTTGCTTCTTCTCATAATGAGAACTATAAATCTCCAGCTCACGTATGTAGCGAGAAACAACTACTAAAACCCACATTTTGATATCTTCAGGTTTCAAATTTGAATCACTTAACACAAGACGAAAGCTTTCTATAACGAGAGCTCTATGTAATTGCAGATTTCTATCAAGAAAACATCGTAAACTCCTGAATTCAGACTCTTATTAAAGTTCACCACCAAACTCACGTTTTGCCAACCACTTCCAAAGAAACTCCCATCGTTTCGACAAAATGCTAGTTGATACAGGAGAAATCGTCTCTGGAGTTCTCTTTTGATAAACTCTAACCCCATAAATCCCCGTTAAAAACATAAAATATTTTTAATTTAAATTTAATTCGAAAACGGTGGATTTTACTACTATACCCACACCGAAACCCAAATATTACAGCCAAAACCCATATCTATTCAAACCCGCACCCGACCCATCTCGACCCAACCGATAACCCGAATTCATTTGTTGAGAAATCAAATATCGATTGCGTTTTATCTCCTTTTTGAAATCCAAAACCCTAAAATTTCTCAATTTCTCTTCCTCTCTTCTTCTTCAAATCTCCCCAGAAATCGTTATGGAGAGATATCGAAACTATTTTACAACTTTATTGAGAGATTTTCTCGTTTCTTGCATCTTTAAAAGGCACCTTCGTTTTCTCGTTTGTCTCCGATTATGCCTCCAAAGAAAATGGGGTTAAAGAGGAAGAGAGTAGCGGATCGAACAAAATCGGTATTGGAAGATGATGGAGGAGCAACGACAACGACGGAGAAGCCATCCCCGACGGAGCTTCCATCCGCGACGGAGCAAAAGAAGGAAATTGAGGGAGAAGGAGTTGAAGAACAAGTCCCGACCTTAAGTCCGGTTGTAGAGGCAGTGGAAGAAGAGAATGTGGAAGAAGAGTATGAGAAGAATGAGGAAGAAGAGAAAGAAGAAGAAGAAGAAGAGAGCGAAGAAGAAGAGAAAGAAGAAGGGAATGACGAAGACGGAGGAGAGACAAATGATAGTAGTAGATCCTTGTCCGGAGAGTCCTCCTCCGATGAGAGTATGGAGGATGAGATAGCAGATGGAAATGCAGTGGAAATTCAACAGATATGGTAAGTATTTGACTAGGGTAAAACTAGTAGAACAGGGTAAAACTATGTGTATATCTGGGTGAAACTGGTATAACAGGAAAACACTATGATTTCTTGGTAAAACTGGTAGAACATGGAATACTATTGTGTGTTATAATGTAGAATTGGGTAATACTGGAAATACAATGGTATAACTATGTGTTTGAATTCTGGATATTACTGATAATACTAGGGTATTACTATATGTTTGATTTCTGGGTAATACTGGTAATACTAGGGTATAATAATTTGTATGAATTCTGGGTAATACTGGTAATACTAGAGTATAACTATGTGTCTGATTTCTGGGTAATACTGGTAATACTATTCGCAGAATAATGATATATGAATGAATGTTGCAGGAGATCGACGAGGAAACAAAAGCACTACAACCCCTGAGTATGCATTTTCCGCCGTTGGAATATGTGAATAAAATCAAGCTATCAACTAGGTGTTATATTCACGAAGTGTTGACTACGTTCGATAAGTTGGCGCCTCCGATGAGCAAGTCTGAGAGGGCATGGTTTGAGGACCATCCGAGTTTCCAACACGTCTTCCACATGCCAAGAGACCCTAACCACCGACTTATGGGGATGTGGATGCTCCTTCGTACGGCGCGCATTGAAAGGAAGAAAGAAGTGTGGTTCATCGTCAATGGCGTCCCAATCCGATATGGTATATCGGAACACGCATTGATATCGGGCTTCAATTGCAAGAACTATACACTTGGGTATGAAAAAATGGGAAGTATGGAGTTCAAGACGAAGCATTTCAAGAATACTGTTGTGAAACGCGAAGACGTGGGAGAGAAGCTCTTAAAAATGAAACCGGCGGGTGAAAGATCTAAAGAAAGGTTGAGGATGATGGTCCTCTATTTCTTAAGCAGCATTTTTGTAGCGCCTATCAAGACCGGGGATAAGGCACCTCAATTGGATGATTTGTGTCTCCGGAATTCCTTCCATCATTCTAACTTCTTCTAGTTTCTCCATTATCCTCTTAACGTTTTCATCTCATCGTACCACGGGTCCCTCTCACACAATCGATCCATAATGGAAAAAAGAAAGAAGAGAAAAGTGTTGGATCTCCTTTTTTTTGCTTGGAGAGAGAGAGTGAATTTCGAGAGAGAGAGAGAGAGATCCCGTGAATTGAGAGAGAGAGAGATATTAGTTTTTAGTCAAATTTAATTGACTTTGGGGGAAAATTGATTTTGGGGGGAAAAAATCGGTTTGGAGGGGAAATGTTTTGGGGAAAAAATAGAAATTTATTCCCCACATGTGCGCGCAGTCTTTTCCACGTGTGCGCAGTCTTTTTGACATGTGCGTCGTTTTTTTTACGTAGTTGTACTCAAGGTTTCAGTTGTACCAATCGTCTACATAGTTTTACTTTAGGTGTTTTCCAGTTTAACCAGTATTACATATCCTTAAAAATGATTTATGCAGTTGTACACTTGAGGGAACTCTACCATTATAGGATTCTAAAGGTTTTATATAAACATATGTTAACAATATATAAAATTGTAAAATTTCAATCCTAAGTTGGAGTTTATATCAAAAGTGAGCTTAAAAGTATAATGAATATGTTGTATGGAGTTTATTAAAACAATATTACATGAAATATTTTTTCTCCTAACTTCATTTTAAATCGTTTGTAAGAGTTCATTATCACTTAATAGTCTTTGTAAAATTTGGTGTTGGAAAAAAAAAAGAAATTCGAATTTTAAATTCCTTCATTAGTTATACTAGTTATACCAGTATTACCTAATTTCTTCATTAGTTATACTAGTTATACCCGTATTACCTAATTCCTTCAGTAGTAATACATGTTATACTAGTATTACCCTTTTGCCAGTAAAATAAAACATAGTATTACAGCAGGATAATCTAGTGTTACATAGTTGTACAACTCGAATATGATTTACAAATCATAAAGTTCAGATAAAATCAAATACTATGGTTGCCAAATAACAACCATTGCAGCGATTGCCTTGGCCTCCTTTTGTTTTGAGTCGTTTGACGTTTTGGACGTCTTTCCCCTGTGGATGGAAACCTTAGAACTTTTGTTCTTCCCTTCTTCTTTTTCCGAGGCAGAGGTAATACTTTCAACGCTTTGATGTCATCTGGGATATCCCATTGTGACCTATCCGAGACTAAATAAATAGTCTTATAATACGCCAATGCCCACATCTCCGCCCAATAATACTTTGAAACCAATTCATGTAATTCTATACCTCGAGTTCTGGTTGTATCGTTCTCGAAGGCAATGAAACCGGCTAGTGCATGCACACAAGAATACTTTTGGATATCAAAAACCTTACAACTGCAAGTTTTCAAGAGCAAGTTGACCAATTATTCTTTCCCTTCACTACCGGTGACATTATATTCAAGCTGGAATGTGTTTAGCTCCGTCAATTTTAGTTTCTCAGCGTCAACCCATAAATCATGCAAGTAGTTCTCCACTAAAGACACCAACTTATTATCATTAGATCCTGACGCGGCTTCTTTCCGATGTTCATTAAACCAAACAGAAATTTTGACATGATCGCATCAAGTATGGGTATTAAAGAGTACTTCCTTGCATTGAGAAAAACAGAATTCAAAGATTCCACACAATTGCTTGTGTCCAAATTGTATCGTTCTCCTCGGAAACAACACCTAGCCCATTTTTCTTTCACTGTTGTATCCTCCAAATAATTGGCCGCAGAAGGATATCTCAGCTTAAAAATTCTATACTCCCTCTCAATTTCAGTCATGGTGTAAACCCGACTTAACTCCATGAATCTCCATGAGACTACGTCTCTGTTGACGTTACTGGCATGACCTTTCATATTTTGGGATAAATGTCAAATATAATACCCGTGATGAGCCGCGGAATACACATTACCTATGCCTTTGATGAGGTTTGGATTTCTGTCACTCATAAATACCAATTCTGGAGTATCGGGTACAACAGTTAACAGCTTCTCGAAGAACCATCCCCAACTAGCATCATTCTCACTGTCGAGTACGCCAACCGCTATGATATAATGATGACGATTTGGATCTTGAGCTGAGGCAAATACTAGAACACCACCATATCCGTTCTTCAAATGTGTTGCATCCACAATTATCACTTTCCTCATGACTTGAAAGCCTTCAATTCTAGCTCCCAAAGCTATGAATAGGTACTGAAATTTATCGCTCTCATCCAATTTCAGATATATTATTGTACCATCATTTACCTTCTTCAACATGTACAAATAACAATTGATATCCTTGTAGCTTTCTTCCGCGCTACCTTTTAAATCACAAATGGCTTGCCTTTTCCCTCTCAATGCGGTGGAGTATGATATCTTCACACCAAATTTCGTATGAACAAGCTCCATGATAACCTTAGGAACTGGACTTTCCATTTGTCCTGAAAAAATATCATGAAGAAGAGCTGCTACTAATTCAGGGGTGCCTTTCCTCTTTCTCATCCTTGTACTACTCTTACTTATCCGGGTACAAGTATGGATCTTGTTGTACTTTCTAATCGAGTAAATACTTGTATTCCGAATATTTGTAGCTCGTATACGCCAAGAACAGCTTAGGACATACCGCTTTTTATCATACTTTTTAATAACATAACCAAAACTATTAGCAAATGCACCTTTGTCCACCACTTCTTTCGATGCCGCATTGCTTGGAAATTCTTGTCGTAAAATCAAACCAATACCGTCTTCTCATTCTTTTTTAAACTGACAAGGTTCTACAACAGGCAATGTCTCAATGTATTCATCACCCCTATCATCACATCTATCCATAGATTCATCACGTGATCCAATCTCAGGATCTTGAGTATCATCAACCTCCACTATTGCCTCATTTGGTTCTGTTCCTTGTTCCTCG